GTTAGCCGTAAATTGGCTAGAATTTTAACTGTTAGCCGTAAAAACCGTTACTCCACTACAATCTTATAGCATTTGTTATTTTCTTAATTTAATGTATATTCCATTATTTAAGGCAATTAAATTATAATGAGCGCATTTGAGAATTTTTATTGAGCCAAAACAGAATTTTCCCTTGTTTATACCACCTTTCAAGGGGGTCTGTTTGCCTTTTGTCAAATCCTTATCTCCCTTTTATAGCAAGTAGACTAATCGCTAAAAATTGAAATCAGAAAGCCTGCTCAGCGGGTGGTTTATTATGCGCTTAATAGCGTAGGGGTGCGGAGCCGCGAGAAAGAGTGGGAGGCCTGGGGTGTAAAATAATTGGAGCTCGATGGGAACTTTGCATGACATCCCAAGAACGACTGGGAGGGAGACAGGGTTTAAAATTAAGAGGCCAAAAAATCACTAAGATAAATACGAGTCACTCGATGTCCAGAATCAGTTGTACGATTAAATGTTAATACTATATGTCAGGCATATAGGTGAGTGACTCTCAGAAACGTTTCAGACGAATTTGCAGAGCTCTGGTCAGGCAATCGATAATTTTGCTGGTTTATGTCATCAGATTTTGCTATCAACTTTCATCTGTAAGTCATGGCTTATTATTGCAAAGCTGAGCTTAATGAATTATTACCTGCTTATTTTCAGCTGCCAACATTCCGAACGAAAGAAGAGAATCCATCAAAAAATGTAAGGAAAGTTTGATCGAGTACATAATGAATTGTTTGCTCGGCAACTTTGAACATTCATCAGAATGTGAAAACGACTAACTTGGAAGTCACTCAGTTTCCTCTAATTATAAGGCCGCTTTTCTTTCGCTCTGTGAAAATCAACTGCCTTCAGAGTGAAACTGAGCCAGTAAGGTCTCACACTCACTATTACACCCAAACCCCAAGTTGTAATTCATTTTATCATCCTGTTGCCGATCTGCGCCTGTTAGTCTGGAAAAAACTAAGATTAAAGCCACTTCATAACACAGAAAAGCTAAATACCCTGCGTTTGTTCTACCAGGTGGCAAATTCAAACCAATAGGTAAAGCTTTGATACGACTGTTCTCTCTTAGTGAAACAGAAAAGAGTTGGCACCAACTTTGACGCAATATTTATGAACAGGGATCGAGGGAGGGCGTGAAGATTTAGCACCCGGGAGACTGCTGGCATAAGGTACGTGTAACCGCGAAGAATAGTTACGCTTGTCACTTAAAAGTTGCCTTTTCCCAGCTTAAATAATAATAAAAAAAAAGATGGCTAAGTTAAACGTCAATGGCTATAGACTGTTGTTCAGGTTCTAAAATTAACTAGCAGTGTTGTCTGTTATTCAGTGATTTAGTTTTGTTAAGTTTTCTCTCTTTGAGTTAACTCCATAAGGTAACGATAGGTGTTTAATAATTCGTTACACAAGTGAATCACCAAGTGATTCTCTACAAGATCACAATCTGAAAACTCAAAAAAGGCAACGAGAATTAAAATGTTAAAAGAGGGTGCTCAGGGAGAATGAAGATTTACAAGGATTCCACGGACGAACTTGAATCTCAAAAATTTAGGTAGCCTATTTAAAAAACTTTTTTCTGTTTCCTATTTCAGGCATTTACACCAAACAAAGCAAGTAGTTAGAAGGAGGGACGTGTAAAGATTTTTCTGTATTCATTGCAATTGTTAACGTAATAAAGACTGATTTCTGATCAAAAATCGTTTTCTTTGACTAAGAGATGCTAATTTTAGGGGGGGGGGAAGGTTTAAGAAGCGATGTTATTTTATATTTACTATTTAAAATAACGCTAAGGCAAGTTCAGATTCCAGAGAGTAACTTAAACCTTTGAAAGTTGTCCTAAAAAATACGATTCAAGTTTTGCTTAGCAAACCAGCCTTCACCTTAGTGACGCATAACAATCCTGGTTACCTTTCTCCCATGTCTTGGCAATATCTTTGAACAAAAACAGCTACACATAAGGCTCGCCTCACTCGGTTTTTAGTTCACCGAGTGAATGACAAGTATAAATAAGATGTGAATAATGAATATTTGGGTTTCAAAACTTCGGCGGACTATTGAATATTATCACCGACATTCACAGCTTTCAGTTGATCATTAAGTCACTTGAGCAACGTCCTTAAAGAAATCAAACCAATTCCGCCGGAAAAACAAAAGGGACAAAATTGAGAGAGAAAGTATACATCAAGATTACGTTTAAGAGGGAATTCGCACGATCGATGTCGGTCTAAAGATCCAGAGTATAAGACTTGCCAAGATTCCAAGACTCCTAAAGCCCGACAGTCGCAACTAGAAATCTATACCAGATTTTTTCTGTAGAAAACTTATACCACTTTAAAAACTTTTTGCTTAGAGGTAACTGCGACTAAAAATATTTAGTTCCCAAATTACTAGTCTTCTACAAGGCTATCCTAATGTTTTTCCCTGACATTATATTTATTTTTAATTATGCACAGCGATAGAAAACAATCCTTTTAACAATAAAAATGTTTTAATAGGAGGGAAACCCTTCTTTTTACGGGAATGGTTTTCCAAAGTAATCATTCATATTTAAGACCTTCTTATCAAAAGTGGCAGCCTCGCTCCTTTACAGAATTCCAGAAGAAATATGACTGTAGAACCAAATTCCTTAATTTATTCAACGGCACTCACAATGCCTTCGGCGAATAATTGTTAAGTATTACCACCACTAATCTGCTTGATGTTGTATTGATATTGCAAAGAGAAATTCTGTCTTGGTCACTGGTCACTCCTAAGAGTTCAAGGGTTCATGGGATGTATGTTTCGGAAAATAAAGTGTTTTTATTCCCGTTATTTATTAACATATAAGAAATTTTGTTGCTAAAGCAGACTGAATTTCAAAAAGTAACCCAACCCTTTGAAAATAATAAACTGTGCTGAAAATTCGATCAAAGACGCCGGCAAATTTAAAATTTAAAATTTTCTTAATTTCTTGTCTTTATTCTCTTGATCCAATGATGCTGTGAGCCTCTTTAGTTATCTATAATCATTCATGACCTTCATAAAATCCTGCTGTTCTCTCTTTGCATTACATCGACTATGTCAGTCGCTTCGACATTCACGTTTTGGTACACCAACAATTAAATTGGTATGTATTGTAAATTAATCGTAAAAATCGCGTACTTTTTTTTTTTTTTATTACCCTGTTCAGTCATTGTTAACACCTTGTCAGTAAAGATAATGTAACTTTCTATACCTGTCAGGAGAACTTACTTTTTTCACCTGCATGTGTGGATGGTGTTATCAAATTTAATGCGACGCATTTGCAAAGTATACAATGCAATGATCATTTTGTAAGGCATATCTTGGCTTTCAAATACCTACTTTGAGAATCCTTCAAATTTTCAAAACGCAAAGAATGTCGGCTGTTGTCAAAGATAATTAAATATTCTAACTATTTCTGTTTCTCTCATTCATAAACAAATAAGGAAAGTTTTCCTTGCACTTTTCCTTCTTCAGAAGAGCAAAGACTCAGAAAAACAACAACTTCAGTGCGAAAGGTTTGATGAAAGCTGGGTTTCGGACGCATGTCCTTGAAAACTGGTGAAGAACGAAGATCAGTCAGTTGAAACAATACTAATAGTTTAAAGATTGTTATTTCATACAAGGAAGAAACTTTGTCGTTGTAAGGTGTAACAAATGTTTATACGTCTCCATGAATGGCGATGTAATCATTTACTTCAGAATTTTTAGAGATTTACGATGGAATCCAATAATTTTAACCTCACAATATCAATACAAAATCAGGAAGACAAGTGATGAGAACCAAGAAAAGTATCAATTAGGGGATTATTAGTTGATCCAATACCAAATTCTCAGAAGTAACATCAGAAGAATTGTATGGCAGACAGTAAGGAGAATTACTAATGAGATCTTGGGAGTTAGAGGGTTAAAATATTGCCGCTAGCAGGCTGCAATGTTAAAAAAATTGCAGTGCAGCCAGCCCACTGCAATATTGAGCGTCTTAGCTAGTTTAAGACTACCCCTAATGTTTTGCATCATGATAAATTAAAAAGGGGCTTCTCCATTTTCCTCAGAAACTTGGATCAGACTGAAACTGTATACCTTCTCGGGCTGAAATCGCCGACATAAAGCAAAAAGAGAACGTTAGGATATTATGGGGGTCAGCAATTATCTGACTTGAATGGACGTGTTTGGCGACCATCCCACCTCCGCGCGACTATGACTCGTGTTTCGCCTTTACAAAGCCTTAAACACTCCCTATTTGTTAGTTTGATCATCGGAATGGGCTGTTTTAAACGTTTTCTGTTGGCTCGCTACGACACCTATTTACTTGTGTTTCTCTTAGAGTCTCGTTTTATACATGCTTTTAGCCTATGAACTTAGGTGCTCTGTATCGTGACAATGTATGTCATGGAATGACATACATTGACAGAAATAATCTTTAATTTCGACAATTGATTGACTCGTGTCTTCTCCCTGCTCTTTAAATACAATGTCTATAGTACCAGCAGGAGGTGAGCCAGACAAACTGCGACAGCGAGAGAGTTTTACAGCGATAAAACGCTTAAATCTCTTGGTTAAAAAAAGAACAGAAGAAGTTTGAGACAGTCTTGCAAGCTATGGGTGAAGGGTGCCTTTTGATGCAGCTCTTTTTTGTTCCAAGAGATGGTCAAGAGATAGGAGAAAGGCGAGTAGGTCTTATTTTTTGCGTCACAGGTAAGCAGACGGGTTGCTGAGCGAAATTATTCAAAATGGCGGCGTCTGTAATCGAGTTTTCAGCACATGTTGAGACAATTTTCAAACCTTTAGGTTAACCTTTCCAATTTCATAATGCATGGGTGTTTATTTCTCGAGTTCTTCAAGAACTCGAGATGGTTATATGGTTTATATCTCCACCATTTAAAGTTTAAATGGTGGAGGTATAAACCATATAGTATCTGGAACATATACTCCCTTAAAACTAGCTTTACACAGTCAAAGAACGCCCCTTTTTTTCAGCAATCAATCTTTATTGCGGTTATGGCAACATTTACTACAGAAACAATTTTATTGCTCCCTCCTCTAAGCTACTTGCCATGATTGCTGTAACGTAAATACCTGCAAATGCGAAAAAAGAAAGAAATTATTAATGATAATCTCGGCCTTTGAAGAAGGAGGAGATCGAAATTTGTCCGTGCAATCCTTGTAAATCTTCAACATCCCTAAGTACTCTAGTATCGCCTGGATTCCTATTGCTTTTTTAATTTGATGTTTTTCAATTCTAACCTTGCAAGGCACATGTGGGAAAACGCCACGCTAAATTCCAAGCGTGACCATAGCTTCAAGTAAAACTTACCTTATCTATTCATTTTATGGTCCCCATTCTTCAGCCCAAGTTTCAAGCCCTCCTAGATGCAGGCACAGCGAACCCACTAGAGAGAGCATATACATCAAAACTTAATTAGTTACGAAGTTAATACCTGGCAAACAAAAGTAAGGCATTAAGTTTTATTCATTCAAAGACTTTATATAAATTTCTTTTAGGCTTGCCAATGTATGCAAAGGAAATCATAAGAGAAGTTCAAAATTGCAGTTTTGAGATTCCAAAGAATTGCTTAATCGTTGGAATTGTCTTTAGATGTGTTGGATACCCGTCAATGGACGCCGCCATTTTGAAAACAACTCAGTAACCTGGTCGCACCCGCAAAGAGCGCGTTTTGGTTCATAGACAGCTACTGCTTTGCTTAGCACTTAAGTCATCCTTGGAGTCAAAAATGTCTTTCTGAACAGCACATATTTCCTCACTGGGTCACCAGAGTTAATAAAAAAAGAACTGAAAAAAGAAGCTGCGGATTGAAGCATCCATAATCGAGACAGTTTTCGAAAAGCTAGTCTGCTTTTTGGAGAGAATAATCAAATAGAGTGATTTCTGAACGATACTTCTTCCCTAAGTTAAGTGTAAGTTTGCAGTTTCTGAGGAAATGCGGTATGTTGACTTGTTTTCTTGAAGAAAGAATATCTCATCTTGATGCAAGCCATAATCACTTCGGGGGATCGAAGACATCAAAACTTTATTTCTCGATGCGAATGCCCTATATAAGCATAGAAAAATTCCCCCTATGCACGATAAAATCAAAATATGTTTACACTACAGTAGAAATTCTGCAAATAATGACAATAATATAAACATTAAATTCATAAAATTGCATCAGTCTTCATAGAAAAACAAAACCAAATAATTAGAATAGGCAATCCTTACATCGCTGCAAGGATTCCTGTCTCCTCTCGGTGGGAACGTCGCCTTGAGCAGAAGAAAACAAGTAAGAATTTAGTACGCTCAGTTTCGCAATGATTTGAGACTTGCGGACGAAAAGTAATATCAAACTCCACGAGATGAGCCTCGGCGAGGGACAAAATCATCGATTGTCTTACAGAGCTTTTGGTTAAATATAATACTAAAATGCACACGGCATTACCATAGCAAGATAGCAAGTCAATTATATACCTATTGTATTAGTGATTATTTAGTTATTAAATGTTTTGAATTTATTCCCGTGTTTTTTTTCTTGGCTTCTCATTTTCAAACTGTCTCCTTTCCAGCCGTTCTTAGGATGTCACGCAAACCTCCAATCGAGTCTCTCTTAGGCCACCATAATTTTTCATCCCAAGCGTCTTTGCGCTCTTTTTGTGTCTTTGCCAGTCTGACGCACAAGCCGAACCCTCTACCAAGGAGGTTTTATCAAAGTTATCATTTGTTAATCGATTAGCTATATAAGTGAATAAGGGACTCGAATATGAATCCATAGAGGGAGCCAAACCCCCCCTCTCCAAAGGAAACAGCGTAAACACGGAAAATAACTTTTTGCATAGACATAATCTTAAAATGAAGACAGTACATTAGGCAAGCTTACAATAATGATATATAAATAAACTTCAAAATCATATCTATTTTATACAATTGGCAAAAACAAATTATTTGAATCAGTTACCTTGAAATCGCCTGAGGAATATTTTTCTATCGGCTGGCATTTCTTCTGAAAACGAGCAAGTAAGAATTTAGTAAGCTGAGCTTTGCAGAGATGCAAAACTTGTAAACAAAATCTGATAGCAAAACCAATTGGGGCGAGCCCTGGCAGAGGACAAAATGATAGATTTTCTTGACAGTACTTTGCAAATTTGGCGAATAGATTCTTGCGAACCCAAACCTCAAGTTTGGTGTTAATCATTTATCATGTAGGTAATTCTTTATTAATGACATGCATGTTTTTTATGCATTCATTTATTTTTGACTGTCATTTTCACGCAAAGATCTCATCAAGCTCCTAGTAAGCTGCCATTATTTTCAGTCCCAAGCCTCTCTGGTCTTTTCGCTCTTTTTCACGGCGGCATTGTTATAAAACTTTAGAGCACATAATAAACCGCCCGCTTGACAGGCTGTATCCAAGATATTTATCATCAGTCTATAAGCCACGCAAGTGAATAATAGGATGGACAACGAACCTTTTTCTTCCCTTCTCTGAGGCGCATCACCTAAAAACAAGAAAATAATAAATATAGAAGGTGAGCTTCGCAATGATACAGATTGGAGGTCACAAAACTCAAAACTCCATCGGATGAGCTTCGGTGAAAGACAAAATCAAAATCTG